GTTTATATGGAATAATAATTAATAAACAATATATACTTATCCACTGTATCTAGTGTATTTTTTTTAATAGTTTAAAAAAATTAAAACCATCAAAATATCTTTTTCTTATCGTGTTAAAACATGTTACTCGCGTGTCCTTCTTGTGTAAACTTGTTAAGGACCCGTTGTTATTGGGTTCTAATTGTGTGACCCGATAACAACCTAATTAGTTATCGTGTTAACTCGAAACCCGTTATTTTCGTGTTGTTTATGTGTCATGTTAATGGGTCGTGTAAGCAGATTGCCAAGTCTAGGAAAACTCGATGAACTAGACCATCGAGTGCATATTTAGTTTTTTGGAAACTACCAAACCAATAAGGTAGCAGAATGTCATAACATCCATTGTAGGGGAATAAGTTTCTCCATAATCAATCTCAGGGCGTTGAGAGAGGTCTCGCGCCATGATGCGTGCCTTATATAACCCTATTTCATTCTTTTCATTACACTTCCTTTAGAAAATCCATTTGTAGGTAACTGAATATCATCAACGGAGCGAGGTTCAATACCATTGCTCAACATGATATAAGTAGCTACTACATATATGAATGCTTTGTCGACTATCATCTCATTATGATTCCAAAGTAGATTGAAGTTAGCATAATGGACCCAAATCTCTCGATTCTGGGGAGGCAGATTCGTCTTTTATAGATGCTTTCATAATCTAGAATTACCTCATGGGTTGGAATAGATGAGTTACCGATGGGAGGATTCGATTATTTCGTTCTTTTATCTTTCGGGGTTGTGAATCTTTCGAACCAAAGAGTCTACCACGCTTCTGATTAAGAGCAGATGATTGGCTATTTGCCAATGTACTAAGCCATCCCATAGTTGCGGCCAACTGTTCTTCAGGGACTACTCGTCCTTTGGGCGCAATGTTTCGACATACGTAAGGCACATCTATCTTTGTAGGCATGTTTGTAGCTAGTGTGTGTGATCTCGTTACTTTTGCTAGATAAGTTAAAAAAATCTAACATATGCTTTGAGCAATGCTCTGAAGATCTCGAATGCATCGCACTGCAGTTTCAGATTGTGCGGTGCATGGATCTAAATGAGACATAGTAGGGTTCGTTCACAACAATTCGTTGTTCTTCAGGAACATTAACGTTTTTATCTTCCCCTGCTGGAAGATTGTCCTATCAAAATGACAATTCGTAAAATGAGTGATAAAGAGATTGCCAATCAAGGGCTTTAAATAGTGAATCAAAGCAACATAGATTCTCATTCTTCTCCGAGAACCCATTTTGGTACGTAGTGACGACGCTATTAGCACATAAACTACACACCTAAACACTCATAAATGCGAGACATTAGACTCATATCCTGTAACCAACTATAATGATGTATAGAATTGGGTGGACAACGCTTCTCATGATTTGGCTTTGCATATGTATATAATTTACGTACTCTGGCGTTGTGTCCGAGGATGACAATGAATAATTAGCCAGGAACATGAAGAATCTAATTTCTTTGTTGGACCTAAAAAAAAGAAAGTAACATGAGGGGACAAGGAAAAAGACAGTGATTACCATGAAGAATCTAACGACATTTAAGAGACAGATTAATTATTTCACTAATTAGTTAACCACAAAATCATCAACCAATTGGTTTATGGATATTCCCACATACATTTTCATTTACTAATTTTTTGTCATTACTTTTTTTCAATTCACTTGATTCAATAATTAAAAATTAAAAAAATATAATATGTAAAAAGTAAAAATGTACGTGTAGATCACACTACCCTATATATACAGTAAGTTTACAAAGAGAAAGGAATCGGATCAAGATCCTCTCCTAATCTAAGGATGAGATCCTCATGACTAAGCGATGTGGGCCGTTAGATGAAAATCCAACAGTTATAATTATTATAAATTTAAAAGGACCTTCTTATTTGTAGCCGTTAAATTTTTATCCAACGATCCACATCTCTTAATCATGAAAATCTTCATTCTTAGATTAGGAGAGGATCCTGGTCCAAAGGAAACAATCTCATTTCTCTGTTTTATTGATCAAAAGTTGGAATGAGCTGCATCAAATGCTTTTGCTGAATTAATGATTAGACACTTGTATGCTTTTGATGCATGCATGCTTTCCTCTTTTGTAATGGAGAGATCTAGACTCGAGAGAGAAAAGCTCATCGATTGTACATAAAAGGAATGATGGTGGATGTCACTTCCCCATGCGTGTTATGATATGCATGGGTGCGTGGCATGTTGTGCTCTTAAAGCATAAGAAATAACTTCTCTCTATGTTGTAAAACTATACAACGAGCCAATTATAATATGATATGAATAAGATTTTAGTATGAATTGTTTGGACTGTTCAATTTAGGGATGAAGATTTACTTTGACGGTTACTATTTATTAAAGGAAGTTATTGTTCACTTAGAGGGATCCACTTTGATAGTTACTATTTATTAAAGGCAGTTACTGTTCACTTAGAGGAATGTTTATCTACACTAAAAAGATAGGGGAGTAGGTTAAGCCACACAATGAGCTAGTAATAATATGATTCAAATTTGCTTTTGGCGAGAATCGAACATAAGACTTCACACTTACAAGTAAAGAGAAATATCACTTAAACTGTAGTACTAAGTGACGGTGACATGTTAGATTGTTTAAAGTTATTATAATATGAGGAGAAATCTACTGTGTCACAAATGACGTCTAAGAAATGTATTGTCTTTACATTTGAATTTGAAATCAATCGTTGAGCTTAAAACATTGAAAATGAAAAAATTTTTTGTTTCATTACAAATAATAATTCTAAGAATGAATGACCATAAATTCTTGGTATTAGGTGATGGAGAGAGAGACTAAGAACGTGTTAATAACACGGATTCACGAATACAACCCCACATGCAAAACCTTCTTTTTTTTTTTTTTTTTTTTTTTTTTTTGCCAGGAAAATGAAAAGTATCTTTTATGAAACGTGTGCAAACCAAATTAGATAAATTTAATGCAATTTTAGATAGCTAGTGTGGTTGATGATAGTGTGTGACGACTTTGTTTTAGCTTTAAACAATATACATTTTTTTTAACAAGTGATATTATCTACATGAAAAGAATGTGAACTTAGCCTTACAATAAGCTAGTAATAATGTGGTTCAAATTCACTTATGACAAGAATCGAACCTAAAACCTGTCACTTAACAGTAACAATGAATATCACTAAATATAGTACTAAGTGACAACTTTAAACAATGCACTTAAAGGAGCTTTTGTTTTAGATCGATTAGAACTTACAATATTAAAAATACATAATTAATAAAAATTCATTCTATGGTTTAGCTAGAATCTCTTACCTTTTAATGTAAATATCTCATTATATTAAGTGGTCAACAAACTTTCTAAGTAATTTAGCAAGTCCTTGCTCAATTTTTTTTTAATATTTTAAAATAGTTCAACCCAACTTCAAACTCTATTACTTTTTTTCGTTTTATAATAATGTGGACCATCGATATGATGGAGTTTTGGGGTCGATAGAAAATCTCATTGACTGAAGGCTGATTGCATTTGTGGTGTCATTCGTGTAGAATTGGGAAGGGATGAGGATCTCATCCGGATTCAAATGGTGGGGATCTTAAGGATCCTTACATCTTAGTCGTTCATTGTATATCGTGCGGTCAGAAATCATTTGAATTTTATTATTTAAAATTAAACACAAATAATACCTGACGAAAACTAACCGCACAATATACCATAAATGGTTAAGATATAAGGATCCCTAGGATCCTCACCATTTGGATCCGGATGGGATCCTCATCCTTTGTAAAGGTTCTGAATTGTTGAAACGTGCTGGGTAGCAGATTAGGTAAACCAGTTAGCGTCTAATTCAACTAAAACTTTTCATGTTGGTCGTGAGCCTGAGGAGACAATATTGGACTCAATTGTGTATTGGCCATACAAAAACGCATGCCAAAAGCATGAGTCCCCGGACCTTAATTATATATATTAAAAACTTGGCTATTTTGGATGACAGATTAAGACAAGTGAGTGTAAAATGGATCACAAAATGTTAGATACAAATGACTAAAAATGCACTAGACGAGCATTACAAACAAATTCCTACTTGGAGTGAGTGATTTACAAACTCCTTCCCAGGCACAAAGCTCGCCTGTGTAGGAGACACCAATTTAGTCAGTAGGCGTCTACGGTGAACAGCTGCCCAAAAGAAAAACCACCTGGAAGTCCAAGGACCTGGTACAGAGGCCAAGTAGAAGGTTGTTTTCCTCTATATGTTCAAGCAAAGAACAGATCTTTTCAGCTAGCAGGGCAAAGAAAGGGTAAAAGGCCAGTTCTGTGCCTATAGTCATTCCTTTCTCTGGTAACAATCCGATCTCCAATCGCTGGTAGTAAAGGAAGGCTTTCTATCCGATCAACGCGGGCTAGCAAGTAGGTTATATTCGTACAGGTTTATAATGGGGAACCATAGAAGGAATTCAATCACTACTAATTGGTATCTTTATTACGCATTAATGACGATATTCTTCTTTTTTTTCCTTTCTATTCCCGTGTATTTGTGCTTAAGGATATGGTAGGTTGTGTTTTTTTTTCATGTTCTTTCATGCGGGGCATATATGTAAAATGAGGTAATTTAGTGATTTGAATTTTTCATTATTTATCAAAATTTAATATTTTTAGGTTAAAATGTTTATTTTAATTTTAATAATCTACATAAAATTTTATTTTAAAAAAATTACCAAAAAAGTCAAATATATCATTAGATGATAAAAACTGTTTCTAAGCTAAAATCTAAATTTTTAAGCTAAAAATTTAGGTTTTAATCCCAACCACGAGAGTTGATCTAAGTGACCTCACACATAAAAGAGTGGGACTAGTTTAGAACTCTTTTACCCACACATCAAGCACTTTAAGCCCACACAACTAGACTCGGCTTTTGAGAATGAGTTTCTAATTTGTTCTCAATTGACAAATATTAAAATACAAGAGCAGGATAGGTAAAATTAGAAAAGTCGGATATTATATACTGTTTTTGTGTAATAGACGGCAAATTACGCAGTGCAACACGTATCAACAAACACCTACGAGAATTTCACATAAACAATTTAGCCATCTGTACAAGCAGTCAAACGTACTGCGATCGTAGCAGATTGTTTGAGGATACGTACAATACAGTAGTAGCCTAAATGGTAGCATCTTAGCTTCCAACTCCAATCTATGACAATGACCGAGTGCATATACGATCCCCTGAAATTCCAAAAATTAGATTCAGTACGCTTATAAATAACATACTGCAGGTGGAAATCCCGCAAAAAATCCAGTTCATAACCAACCAGCCGTCCCGCATCTCTAGATCAGTCTTTTAAAGCATCATATACTAACATTGACGACGCCACACAAAGTGTTTTCCTTTGGATGGTACATTTCCATTAGCAACTTGAAACAGCTAGCGGAACAGACTTATCAATGAACTTTTAAAACCCGACTGGCAAAAATATGTTTTTATAGAGTGCTAATATAATAAGTCGTCGACTGCTACACAGTTTAGTGGAGTACAGTTTGAACAATCCCAGCATACTTCACTCATACTAGAGAACAATAAAATCCTTTTACTAGTCTAGATTTACCTCTGCAAAGTTGCTAACTGCTGGAGCTGCCGAGATCAAAGTCCATCGTATAATCATATTCAATAGTTGGAATTACAGAGGCAACAAATTTCAAGAATAAGAATAGGTACCTATACCACAGAAATTTACAATGATAAGAATGTTGTCCATAACTATTCAAGGTAACTGGTCTAGTAAAACATGGCATAAGCGTTACTGTACAATGCGTATCTGACAACTAACAGGTGGGAATATCCCAACTGGAACATGTAAGGAAACTTATAATAGAGAAAAAGATTCCTCCATCAATTAATGTCTCAAAAAATTGATAATTTAGATTATTACATCCTCAATTGATAAGCCACATCCCTAGTGATTCAGCCACATCCCAGCATCAATAAAAGCAACGTTTGCAAATGGCTCAAAACACGCTCTAGTGAACACATGCGTTCATTGACATATTCACATAACATGGAGTAAACTCCAAGATTGATGATGCACGACTATAAGACATTTTTATTGGGAATTAAAATTGCAACTATCCAACAAGCTCAATTTAGCCACTGGGTGATAACCTAATTAAATAAAATCATCATATGATAAACAACTAGCCTAAGAGTGTATAAATGCATACAAAATGGGTGAGGCAAGAGAGAAAATTACTTATCAACTTCTGGTTCCACTCCACGTGACATTAGCACATCAATAATTTTTTTCATCACAGCCCCATGTCGGCAGGGATGTACAGATGCATGCTTTCCAGACAAGTGGGGATGATCCTCAATAGTTACCTGTGTCCAAATAATCAACCGTCAAACACAATCATCTGAGTTTTTCCTTTTCTTCTCACAATTACAATTTACACATAGAAAACTTCTCTGCCTTGAAAGAAGTACAAGAAATAAAAACTAAAACAAGAAAGAAAAACACAACAATCTGGATGAAGTCTTCATCACTTTCCGGAGTTCAAATGGACTACCTAGGGAAGTTGAGGATTAAATAACAAATTCATAGCCTCAAAAATGTAACTTCAATAAATCATGGCTTTACGAGCATAATCAACAAACATTGTGGCTTGTGATGTGAGGTACCACCCCCTCTTGATGTGGCCTCTTCAAGGCACGTTTTCACATTAATGACAATCAAAATAGAGTCAAGTAGAGACGACAAAAAACCATGAAATATACTCCACCCCCTCTCCACCCTTTGAATTGTATGTATAGGTGTAACTGTATATCCATGAACAAATAATTTTGAATCCGTGGAAGACAGATTCTAATTCTACAAGCAAGGAATAATCTGATTCCGAGGCATCAACTCACAGTTTTGCGTGCATGATCTTGACTGACATCTTCAAGTACGAGCTCTGCTTGTAAAAGCATCCTTGACTAAGAACATTACAAAGGAGTAATCAGTCCTACAAGTCTATATCAAAGAAAATTAAATTTCAGAGAACAAACAACCAGACAAATTGAGATTCCCACACAAATATAAAATGAACTAAGTCTTAAAAACCTGTAACCATAAAAATAAAAATAAAATAAAATAAAATATTAAAAAAAAAAAAAAATTCGTTCATTTTAACAAGCAATAAGCCAGATCCCAAGGTGAAGGTATGCCCAGTATTGGGGAAACATACAGAATCAGTTACCTCAACACAGCTAGAACAGAAACAAGCCACTGGAACTTTTTTAACATTCATTACTTACTTCTTATCGTTATCTTCTTAGGATGAACTGGATCTTCTTTAATTATTTAAATCCCAACTGTACTAAAATAGATACCAAGCCTAACCCTATTGATCACCAAGAGCCATAGAAAACAAGGAGAGGAATGAGTTTCTTGCAAAAACATGTATATATTATTTATCCACATTTAAAAGCAATATATCCCTTATAGTGTGAGCAAGCAAAAAGGTGAATACAAACCAAAGTGAGCCAATAAAGTTAATATGGGTCTAACTAGCTTTTATGCATCCTTTACTACTCAAGCATGATGTTGGCTTAGGGACACTCCAGCTAGGCTATCAGCTCATTTAGTTAGCAATTTTGGTCTCTCTTCTGGAACAACGTGGTCTCCAACAACTACATTTGCTATATCCGCACTATTTTGCAATATCTACCACTGTTCTTTTTCTTAATTTCCCAGTGGTCTTCTTGACCATTTGTTTTTCTCTTTGTTGTTTTATTGTCATTTTCAATAACAGTCTCTTTCTCAAACAAAACAAAAATTCAGGCACACTATCATAGAAAACAGCGCTCTGTGTTTATTACATTGGAGTATGTGTTTGGCTCTATAAGTCAAGCTAGGAACCACCATCTGAAATTAAACGTTTTTGTTTCTTGTGAATTGGGTGACTGCTGTTTCTTGAGATGATTGTTCTCCTTTAGTTGTCCTTAATGTTAGTTGGATGCCAACAATTTTTGTATAGTTGGTGATAGCTTATTCACCCCTATTGTAATTTCGACCTCTTTCAGAAGTCCTTCTTATTCACTTATTTTCATAAGCTCAAAATTCAGGCTCCAGCTTGATAAATTGGTATGGAGAACATTCTGAACATGCAAAACTTTAATTGCCTCAAGTTGAATACCAAATGACATAAATTCTTGACAATCATAGAACCATTCAAAAAAAAAAAAAAAAAATTGCTAGCTACTGAAACTAACCTCATCATACCCAGTAAGCCACACTCGAGGAGTCTGGTAATATTTATCATATCTGTAAGTGAGCAACATAAATAAAGTCATTGATGCCAACTTTAAATAAACTACACAGACCAACAAACTTAAGTGATCTTAAATTGCATTATAATTTAACTATCCTGAAAGCCATACTTCATTATCAAAGAATTTGAAATGAAAAATAACTGTTTCTCCAAAAAGAAATATGCTACTAAGTTTTTATTTTGTCAAAAATATGCTACTAAGTTTAAAATGAGGAAAATGTTGGGCCTGGTAAAAAGTTAAAGAGAACAACAATCTTACGTGATGCTGACATCATATGTTCGGGTTCGTAAAATATTGTCATCGTCAGGTTCATGAGCAATAAGATATGTTCCCTGCGATATAACCACCATACATGATATATTAAATCAATGGAGCATCATTTTCGTGGTCTATATGCATCATAGCAATGAGGGTTTAAAGAGATAAGAACTATCTTTTCACGCCAACTAAACACTTACAGGATCAATCTCAATGTTGTCCGCTTCTTCAAAGTCAGCCATGTCAGGAATATCATCTTCATCTTCCACTCCAACATGCGAGGGGACTGATTTCACATCCCTATTCTTGCTGATTTCTAAACTTTCAATGGAGGGTAAGTTTTCCACCTCACCACTTGTATCTTAAAAAGACAAGAAACAGTCTGAGTAAACGGTTCTGTGAAATTATTGATGTTCACTTTTAACGGAAGTAACCTACCCTTTGGCTTCCCGTGGGTTGCCAACCAGCCATCATTATCTTCATTATCAAGAAGAATTTCCATACCAGCAGCTTCATACTCCTCTTCCAAATATGCAGCCCTTCGTAAGCACGGCACTGAATAAAAATAAACAAATTAGCCATAAAGGTACGGGGAACACGTAATAGCACCAGTTTCATAAAGCTTAGATGTGAAGCACAAAAAGAGGCAAGTGTCTTCACACATGCACAAATTGAGAGCAGCACACGAGCGGACACACAATAATGGACAGATAGGCCATATGATTCTTAACTCAGTGAAGATTATGAAAACTAATTGGCTTGCTTGAGCTAAGTTTTTAACTTTTTGGAAGACAAATTTCCTTTCTTTGGTTTTCTTTCATTTACAAAAACCGTGTAGAGGACCGCTAGATAGGTGACTGTTAATGGTCAACTGCGATCAATGCTATATAGGTGACTGTTAATGGTCCATTATGATCAATGATTAAAACGAAAAGGAAAAGGCGGAACAAGCACACACTATCATTACCTCTTATGTTTGAACATTATATTCAATGCAAGAAAAGGATTGTAAATATATAGCGCAATTTGATGTCACTGTACCATTTCTAGTAATCAAATACTGTTTCTCCGATGGTAGGTACGGCTTCCTCTTGCTCGGCTCACCAGATTCCCTAACACAACACGAATCGAACAGAAAATCCAAACCGGAAAGTAAGATAACAACTTCAAACCTTGTTTTCGAAACGAGAACAAAATGCGAAGAAAAAAAACCAACAAAAAAAATCGAATGAAATTAACAAGAATTATAGTCAGAATTTATCATCTTTCTGTAACTTCATCTGATTAAACAATGAATCAAACCTCGAATTTCAGAGAATTTGAGAGAAATAATAAATAAATAAACTGGAAATTGCAAAATTGAAAATAAAATTAAAAAAAAAATTGAGAGAAAAAGAAGGGAATTTGGATACCAGGACCAGGTGGGGCACTTGGAGACGAGGTTATCGCCAGCTGTGACGAACTCGGAGACGCTGAGAACGCCTTTTTCTTTGAAGGCGGAGACCGTGCGGTGACCTGTGATTCTCTCCACCGTTCCTTTGAACGCATCGTGCAGCTTCTGTGACAGAACCATCTCCGCCCCCTTCTTACTTTCTTTTTCTCTTTTTTCCCTTGGATAATAATCGAACTCGCTGCTTTGCTCAAGCTTCAGCGTTCGGCGTTCGACGTTCGGCGTCCCGCAACAGAGGGAAAGGGAGAGGGAGAGTATTGGGGGAGAAGGAAGGAGAAAGCGTGCGTGGTTGTGCCGTCTATTCGTGGGTGGGAAGTATTTACGACACCGTATATATAATAGAATCGAAGGGATTTCTTCTATTTATATTTTTCTAATTTTATTTTTTATATAAACGATTGTTGATATATACGCTAATTTGACTTTGTTATAATTTAAAAGTCATCATTTTATTGTTTGATACTTAAAGTTCGCTCCACTTTACCTTTGGAACTCGATTTTGATCTTATTTTGCTCTCCGGAACTTGAAAGTTGTTTATATAAAACTCAAAATTCGATCTACATTACCTTAGATCTATTAACTTCTTATGTAAGTTTAATTTGAGTACGGCAGACTAATCAATTTCTTTTTTATTTTTTTATCTCTTCAATTTCTTTTAAACTTAATATTCTTTGATTATTACATGTTAACGCATAACAAAGATTTATAATCAAATTTATTGCACATGTGGCATAGTCTTATTGTGCGTTGGGTCTCATATATGTTTCAAGAGAGGACCTATAAGTTGCAAGGAGGAGAGAGAATCCATAAGTCAAAGTGGAACGACGAATTTTGAGTTTTAGAGAGTAAAATTGTAACTTTTAAGTTACAAAAAGTAAAGTAAAATCAAAATAAAGTTAAGCCTATTCCTAACTAACTGGGCTACTAATCTCTTGCCATGGAGGGAATTTCCAAAGCAAGTGATGTAAGAGACGAGAGATTTTAACCCACCAAACCCTCGCCTATATTTACTTGAGTTACAAATGTCTTACATAGACGAGATATAGGTTACAAGTACTATGTTTAAAGCAACGTATGAGTAACATAGATATGATCTTTTGTCTTGCCATTTTGACAGAGTTTCTAACATGCCCTTTGAAATGTATCTCAAGTGCATAAGCGAATAGAGTAAGGCAACCACAGATTCAACGTTTTATGCTACCCTCCCTTGTGATGAGATTTTTTTTTTTTTTTTTTTTTGGTAGTACAAGCTTAAGGGTTGTATTCAATTGGACTTTTGAAAGATTTTAATGGATTTATAAATTCAAGATTTTGGTGGAGTTTAATTGATTTTTAGAAATTATATCTAAAATTTTGAGTGAATACCCTCAAATTCTCATGGAAAGAGATGAGATTTGAGAATGCATAAAATACACTACGATATCTCTCAAATTTCTTCGAATTCTTCAAATTCTTCAAACATTTTAAAATCCTTTAAAATCAATTTCTAATTGGATACACCTATAATGTTATAATTTTCTTCTTTTTTTTATTTTTTTTATGTTAAAAATCTTGATTGAATGCACCTACACCTTCAAAGAATCACTAATCCTGATTGAATATCCCTGAATTTGTGAAAAGAATTGAAATCTCTAAAAATTCCCATTAAATACACCCCTAGTTTTGTACTAGGGATGAGCTAAAAAGGGATACCCTAACTACTAGGACAATTGACAACTTGCAATCAGTTTTCTAAAAGCTTTGCTCTAGGCACTATGCAGCTGGTCACTATCGTGATTAATTCCTAGGCGTTTAAAAATCATAAAGGGCACCACGACTAGCCATGCCTTACCTAGCCGGTCTAGGTGGATATAAGTGTGCTAGGAGCTAGATCAATCTAGGCAGGCTAGGTGGTTTTTGACTTTTTTGTTTTATTTAAGAAAATGGTTTAGTGTTGCCACTCTCACTTAGAGAAAAAATTGATAATTTTTATTTTATATTTTATGTTGTTAATAAATTTTAAGTGACTTGTTGGATATTTGAATGGATACTCATCATATATTAGTTCTCCATGTTTTCAGTATATTTTAGTACTTTACAGTGTTTATATGTTATCTTATTTTGTAATTTATGTTTGCACGTACAATTATGTATTTTTATTAAGTATTAATACACTTATTTATATATTATATCCTAAATTTAATTAAAACTAGCCTCTCCACACGCGCTCAAGAGGCATTTTTGCATCACGAACGCTATTTAAGCAAAAACTTAACTGTAATTAAAATCGAGAGACTCGAAAAAGAGAGATTAGATTCTTCTCCTGAATCGCAAATAAAGTACAAGTGGAGATTTATTGGTTCTGCACCAAAACCTATTGCTCATTGCCAAAGGATCAACTAAAATGTAATCAGGCACTCTCACGCAAGCAAGATACCTTCTTAAGTGATTACTAAATATATTTTATTTATGTTAAAACCAAAATTTTAGTTTGGTATTAAGTACTCTTTACTTTTGATTTTGGGTCCCCTTTTATATCTTATTTGTTTTATTTTTTGTGCGTTTGGCAACTGGCATGTGGTTGTCATTCACCATTTTAAATACAAAGATTGAAAGAAAATTCATTAAAACTCAATAAACAGTGCATACGCAATCGATCAAGAAAAACAGAATTCAATATAAATTATTTTTTCTTTTGATCAATTTTTTTCCAGAAGATGCACATTAGAATAGAATATGAAAGAAAAAGAACATTTGGGAATCAATGGAGAATAGCACTTCATTAACACTTTTTTTTTTTCTGTTTAAATTAAACAATAGATTTTGTTAGATTAACCACCGATGAGATTCGACCACAAACCATCATGCAAGAGCTTTACTCTTTTCCACCACTGTGGTAAAGGCCCACTTGCCACTTCATGGACATTTTATTTTATGTTTTTCACATGAGTTGAATGAAATTCACAGGCAACTACATAGGCTAAATATTTGGGATAGGCAATACACAAAATTATCTAAGCAGAAACAAATAGAATTAATATGAAGAGAAAGCAGACATGGATAAAGACAAACATATTAACTGCGAGTTTTACGGGTTTTATTGTGTGAATAAACGTTTGCACCGTCAGATTTAAATGTAATGTGTCTTAAACTTCATGTTTGAACCCATGGTGTAACAAAAAAACACATTTGCATAGCAAACCTGGCTACATCATTGTTATTGAACATATGGTGTAACAGAAAGCAGAAGAAATCAATCTGAACATATGAAGACAATTAACAATGTTGTTCTACAAAAAAGAAATTAAGAGAAAGCATTCAAAAGTGAGGCCATAGCTAAAATTTAATAGCATCCCACGTTGCCTCATTGTCGATCAAACTTCTCTAATTCGCCGCAAAGTAAACATAATCCTGAATCTTGAGAAAACCAAATTCAATTAATTAATAGTTAATAAGCAGGCAGCAACAATGGATTGTTTTAATCAAAATATTAACTTGATTAAACAACCAAGTCATCTCATTTTTGCCTCACAAACATAAGCTGATGAAGCTAGCAAGAGGGTACAATTTGTTAAGCTTAATAGCCTTTATGCACATAAAATACCTTTTCCAAAACACCTAAATATATATATTTTTTTAAATGAATAACTTCAATGCTTGAAGCCACAGGAAGCTTGTAGAACAAAGTTAACATGAAAAATGAATAAAATGACAGGCACACCTATAAACAGCAGGAAAAAAAGGAAATCATCAACGCTAAATTCCTCAACTTAACTATCTCGAGAGTTATTGGACTGAAATGATGCCAACCATATGACAGAGAAACAAATGAAAACGTGTAAATTCATAAATCAAAGTTTTAACTCAATCAAATATTATTCCAATGAGAGTTGTAAAATGCAAATAAAGCCATTTAACAACAAACTGTTTCAACCATTTGACTACCCGCAATGTAGACAAAGAAATCTGATACTCATAGTATATAACTGCTCTATTTATCTCTCTGCAAATGACAATTAATTAAATGGAAAACTGAAGTATACCTTGGCTAGTTATTATTTTGGGTCGCCATCTCCAGTTGCTCCAAATAAAAGAGAGGAAGCGTGTGAAGGCAAACTTGGAGGCTTGTCTTGAGTTCTTGAGTTGGCACAGGCGGCTGTCGACCACGTCTCCTAGCCTGTAACGTGCTAAAATTATCGATTCAACAGAGAGTGTTTAACTAAATCTTATCTCATTGGCAACGGCACGTTATAATATCAAGCACATCTTTTGTGTTTATAGACAATAGAATTTTACACTTTTAAGTAGGTATTTTTCATTTTCAGAACAACAAAATTAGGAATCGAACATACCAAAGTGCCCATGATCCGTTACAACACACCGCCGTTTGCCATCAACTTCAGTAGGTCATCTCTCGAAAACTCCTTAAGCCCTTCCGCAACTGCATTCATTTGTCCTTTCCCACTGTCAAGAACTCCAGTGAATGCTTCCTCCGCCGCCACCGGCAATGCCACTTCGTCACCCGATAACGTCGACTTCAACCGGCAAAACGTCGGACCAAACCACATTTTATGCAAAAAAAAAAGAATCAAAATTCGAAACTAAAGGTGCAACATTTGAAGAGTATGGCAATTTCGAGCTAATTTGACAATTATCAAGGAAAAATTCAAAAATTAATTGGCGATTACCGATTCCGAGACCAGATTGGAAATAAAGGATGATGGCGCCCATTGCGGTGCCTTCGCAGCAGCGTCGAGGTCTCTCCAACATAACTACTGGTTCGAGAAGATGATGGGATTTGGCGACGATGGGGTGGACTCCGTTACTTTAGGCAACGATTCGATTTTTGTATGGAGGAGTAAGACCCATAGAGAGAGAGTAGAGGAGGAACGGGAAGAAGTTGGAGCGCAAGGATGGGGAAGTTGGTGTGGGGAGGTTGGAGTGGGACTACTACAACTGTTTCAAATACAGTTTCCAACTCTCTGCACGTCTAATTTGTCTCCTCTTTTTTCTCTCCTATCCCACGTTTTTACCATTCTATCCCTATTCTTTTTATATTTTTTCTTTTTCTTGTAACTGTAATTAAAGGGTCAATTTTGGATTTATGAATGTTTCACCGTTTTTGCCTTTTGGCTTTATACATATAGATAGCATATAGAAGATAACACAACAACGTCTAGACCTCACCTCGTCTCCTAAACACAAGACCCCTAACCGCCACCGGACTTGCGCTACCGCCTAGAACCTTGCTTGCAATGCAATCTGAATTTACGTGAGGATCTATTGACAATGTGAATTGTGTTTTGTAATGCGCTATCCATTGCATTTAATTGAAGACTTTAACTTATAAACCACACAATATAGACTATATAGTTTTGAAAGGTTTTTTATTCAATTTTGTCATCTCATCAGTTTGATCTTTTATATTTCAAACTCAATTTCTTTTGCTTTAGTCATTAATGTTGCCCTTGACGTTCAACTCTGTTAAAAAATCCGTTGATATTAATCTCTGCTAATCGTTCTAAACCCCCAAATGAATTTTCGATTGAAAGTAAATTCCGGACTGCTCTTTTTCCATGACCTCCTTTGATTTAGGGTGGTGCCATCCACACAAACCTTGTTAATTTTTATCCTTTGATCCTCTTCAATTCATTTGATCCGACGGCCAAGAGTTGAGAGATGTGTAAAAAATAAAAATGGTGTATGGATAGCACCACTATTGATTTATTCAATCAAATACCAAGTGCAAAAAAAGTGCATGGAAAAGAAAACTAGCCTCTCTGCACGCACTAACGTGCGTGCGAGAGGCATTTTTGCATCACAGGCGCTACGCGCCCCAAAGATGTGTTGTTTTAGATATTCGTATATTTCTTAAGTGATTATTTTATAAAGTGGTTTGTGTCCATCACAACAATTTCTTATTATTTTCAATTTCTTATTATTTTCAATTTTTTATTATGTTCAATCATCTAACTTAGTCTTTTTGCACCTGCCCATTGTACCCAAAAATGAAATTTATGAATGGGATAGTTGATACAGTTAGAGGAGTGAGTACATAATTATGGGTGTGCCATTTTGGGTTGGGACTGAGATGTTCAACATTAAAGCATGGGCCAAGCTACGTAGTTCCAATTGCTTGAGTTGAAGAAAAGTTGGTGAGATAATGGTGTTACCGTACAATCATCCCAAAGTGATAATGGTGTTATCGCATGCCATATTGCTACATTTGTTGAATAATTTAGGAGCATATATTACATCCAATTTGCACATATGTGAGTAATCTGTCATACATTTTTTACTATTTTTTCTTTAAAACAACAACGAAGATAAAATGGGAAAACATATACTATTTATAAATAAAAAAATATGAAAATATGACATGTAATTTGATTTCTAAATACATATTGACAACATTTAATGTCCTTAAATCAAAATGTTTCAGATTCATAAGTTTTCAATCAAAGTTATAGGCTAGCTAGGGATGAACTCCTAATATATGAAGCAAAGCAAAATATGGACAACATGTACATATGTAAACATAGCGCCTACGTGTGAAATCAAAGCCATGCTTGCCACCCATTTGCTTGCACTTGATGCTTTAGATTTTCATGGTTAATCTGCAAGCAATGATGATAAAATAAGAAGTCTAACTATAATGCACAATCCCAACTATAAAGATTGTAAGCAACTTAACCTAAATACCTTTAAGTTTGACAATTTTCTCATGGCAAGACTTTTACTCCAGTTACTTGTAGAATACTGAAAGATAAATATATTTGTCAAGTTTGAGGTAACAAATTGTAACCATATTTAAAAAATTAAATAATAAGAAATATTACCTTAATCTTGTACTTAAGGTAATATTTCTTATTATTTAATTTTTTAAATATGGTTACAATTTGTTACCTCAAACTTGACAAATATATTTATCTTTCAGTATTCTACAAGTAACTGGAGTAAAAGTCTTGCCATGAGAAAATTGTCAAACTTAAAGGTATTTAGGTTAAGTTGCTTACAATCTTTATAGTTGGGATTGTGCATTATAGTTAGACTTCTTATTTTATCATCATTGTTTGCAGATTAACCATGAAAATCTAAAGCATCAAGTGCAAGCAAATGGGTGGCAAGCATGGCTTTGATTTCACACGTAAACGCTATGTTTACATATGTACATGTTGTCCATATTTTGCTTTACTTCATATATTAAGAGTTCATCCCTAGCTAGCCTATAACTTTGATGGAAACTTATGAATCTGAAACATTTTGATTTAAGGACATTAAATGTTGTCAATATGTATTTAGAAATCAAATTACATGTCATATTTTCATATTTTTTTATTTATAAATAGTATATGTTTTCCCATTTTATCTTCGTTGTTGTTTTAAAGAAAAAATAGTAAAAAATGTATGACAGATTACTCACATATGTGCAAATTGGATGGAATATATGCTCCTAAATTATTCAACAAATGTAGCAATATGACAATATGGCATGCGATAACACCATTATCACTTTGGAATGATGGGATGATTGTACGGTAACACCATTATCTCACCAACCTTTCTTCAACTCAAGCAATTGGAACTACGTAGCCTGGCCCATGCTTTAATGTTGAACATCTCAGTCCCAACCCAAAATGGCACACCCATAATTATGTACTCACTCCTCTAACTGTATCAACTATCCCATTCATAAATTTCATTTTTGGGTACAATGGGCAGGTGCAAAAAGACTAAGTTAGATGATTGAACATAATAAAAAATTGAAAATAATAAGAAATTGTTGTGATGGACACAAACCACTTTATAAAATAATCACTTAAGAAATATACGAATATCTAAAACAACACATCTTTGGGGCGCGTAGCGCCCGTGATGCAAAAATGCCTCTCGCACGCAGAGAGGCTAGTGGAAAAGAAAATGCAAAGAAGAAATGATGAACAATAAGAAAATTTAATGAACAAACCCAAGACCGCCATTGCATTTATAGCCAAATGAATAATCAACCTCAACAACATTTACATACCAACTGCTTTTAGCAAATGTCAAATTCAACAGCAAAAACAAGCCTACTTTTGAGACCTCCCTAAACTAAAATCTGTACAGCCCGAGAGCTCGGATTACAGCTGCATCTATTTTCAGCAGAAACGAAACCCTCGGGTATAAATAAACACCGACTACCGGTACAAATAGGAGGACTTCAATTCCCCAACACAATCCGACGATAAGGTGAAAGATTCTAGGGCTCCAACAAGTTAAAAGGGGCAAAACCAAAAAGAGTTTATACTGCACTGAAAAACTGAGTCATTAACATCCTAGAAGCAGAACCACCAAAACTAAGGTTGTTTGTACTGATCGATGAGGGGAAGGGCAAGCTACTCTTCTAAACAAGGCTTTTCTAATTTTTACTAATATAAGAATTACATTTGAAGCTGCAGGAATCTATAATTCAAGTCTCGGATCATTTGCACTGTCTCGCATGCACGATGCAGGTCTCAAAAAAGTCTCATAAAAGTTTCATCTGTCTCCTTTTAGATGTATACGGGTTTTACATCATTAGGCCCAAAGCTCATGAAACACCTCGGGCACTTCCTCTGTCGAGTTTCAAGTACTTTTTTCACACAAGGGTTGCAGAACAAGTGATAGCATTTTGTAATGACAACCTAGCATTGAGATAAAGAAAATAAACTAAGTGCTGTGCCAGAGACCAAAATAACAATGATGACAACGTTGAATATATATTAACATGAAATTTCTATGACCGACTGACCACTGATAAGCATCTGAATTTTAACATTCCACTTTCGAAAGATAGGACAGTGGAAGAGGAAATAAATAGCAAAAATATTTTAAAACCACAAATGAAAATTAACGCGTTACATTTTTCGTACAAGTTACCTTTGCTTAAAATTAAATCCACAGTTTGCAATGCTTCATGTATCATTCAACGCCCTTATTCTTTACTTTCTGCCGAAATTTTTGAAAATCAATTTTCTATTGTATGCCATTATGAAATTTCAACCTGAAGTCAGACCGACCTTCACATTTTCCTAGTTGCTCCACATATTAACCTCACTAGGATCTGATATTTGGACATTTTCAGCTCCAAATATTGATATTTAGACATTTTAACCACCAAAAATCTAAGAATTGTTGAAATGAAAACACTAAATAAAGAATAAATAGAAGATGATTCAGCTAATACCTGTTTTGTCCTGTCAAGGCAGACATCACACTTCAGTATCTCCTTGTATTCTCCAAGTTCCTGTTGAAGCTTTTCAACAATTGATGAACCCTCCGTCTGTGCTCGAAGCCGTGAAGCCTTCCTTTTTAAAACTTCCAATTCCTCCTCTTTTCTTCTCTTTTCAAACCTATTGAATAACAAAATACGAGTTGACACCATCAATATAAAAAGATTGGCAGGAAGGGGAGCAGAACATCCACCATACCTTTCCTTCTCAAGTTCCAACTGCAGATCTGACAGACCATTGTGACTTTTTTCAACTTTAGATTGTGATGCATCTAATGCCTCCCATAACTGCTGAGATTGCCTTCGGACTTCTAACAATCTCTTTCGAGTATTTTCCAATGTAATTTGTTTTTGCAACTTATCTTCTGCTACTTTCTGAATATGATTTTTGCATATCTTCAACTGTAAAGGAAGAATCGAACAATTAGTTTAACTTAACTCCACATGCATTTATACTTAAGTTTTACAGAAGATTAAAATATACCTGATCTTCAATTCGAGCTGCTTTCATGTTGTAGAAATTAAGAGAATGATTGCCTAGTTGAATCTCCCTCTCCATTTTGCGTTTGTCCATGAGTACAGCATTCTGCTGTTGTCTTGCCCTTACCCCCTCTAAAACAAGCTGCAAGGACAGCCACAAATAAAACCAAATATTAGAACATATTTATAATCATTCAACAATTTAGCATGCCGCATGTGGACTGATGCCTGTGAGTTTATCTTCTTTCCTTTCAGTATTACAGCATGTAAAATCTACACCACCTCAGAAACTTCAGACATAAGAAAATGGTGAGTCAATCACCTTAATGTTATAGTCATCTCTCTCAGTAATTTGCTGCAGTAGATGTTGGTTTTGAGTTTGCATATCATCATACGACTGTCCAATAGTCTGAAGAAAAAGCAAAATAAAATGTCAGAACCATCCGATGACAAATGAAAAAAAATCTCATCTGCATATAATAATGAAGAGCACTAACCTCAATTTCAGATAAGTATGCCCCATTTTCTTCATTTTTGGATTTCAAAATATCAGAAAGTCTCAAAATATCCCTGATATGCCGAGAGAAGGAAAAATCAAAATTCCTCTACGTAATAGTCATGTCAAATGGAGAACAAGGAGCAGCCTAAACAATAGTGTATTCGTTACCATAAAAAAACTACACATAATGTATAATTCCTTCATGTTTCGATAACTGTTACAATCTGGTTTTAAGCCCATATGAAGGAGTGTCACACAAGTGGGACAGCTGCAAAAAATTGTTAATCCTATGAGTGGGCTGCAACAATCAATCATTTTTTGAATGAAGGCTGAATTGAATTATGAACAATTATTCCTATGTTTCAAATCAAGTATGATGGTTCAAAGTGAATCATTTTGGCATTTAACAAACATACTAAATCCTTATTTAGCTCGTTGAGATTCCACTAGTAATAAATATATAAATAAATAAAAATTAAAGGGAGTCATTAGGAAAAGTAACTTAAAGAGAGAAAGAGCTCTCAAATTGAATTTTGTTAATCAAAATCTTAGAAAATGAAGAGAGATAGAGAGTGGAATGCTTCACCCATGCAACCAGTTAAATTCCAACCATAAGACCAAAGTTTTAGGTTACCTTAGTTAAATTATTAAAAAAACACCCTTCAAATATCCTAACATTTCTCTTGTACCAAAAACATGACATTCAGCCAAATTTTTATTTTATTTTGAAATTGGGTAATTAACCCAATGCTCCTTTTGCTTGAAGTAGGGTAATTAATCATGAATGCCCATAGCTATTCACAGAGAAGAGAACCATTGTTCTTTTAATGGAGACAAAAAAGATGAGAGTTTTATGGGACTGGTGTAATGGTAATGTTCTGGATGGTTTGTCTAGAAAGAAATACCAGGATGTTTATGCATAAATTTGGAGATTGAAATAAAAATAAATAAATGATTAGTTTTGGGAATTGTTTTGGGGCTCGGTTTCTAATGACTTAAAGAGTGCCCTTTCTTATTGAATGTGAACATTTTCTTCGATTTCTCTTGACTAGAGGGTTATGTGTTTTTTTAACTGCATTTCGTATTCTTTGACACATCTTTTAGGTGGAATACCGTTTCAATGTGTCTCTCCTCATTCATACTATCTTTTTTGGCCAGCATCAGAAATAGTGTAACCTTTTGTAAGCTTCAAATTTCTGTCTCAAGTCAGCAATCACAGCCTCAGCAGCAGCTAGCCTTTGTTGAGAAATGGCCTCAGCTTCATTTGCTGTCTTAACTCGTAATTCCAAGTTGCGTTCATCAAGGGAGGACTTCAAACTTTCAACACGAGCCCATGCTCTGCATTCTGAATCTCTAGATTCCAAGACATCCCTGTGAATAGAAAAAAACCACACACAAAGTACATATTACATTTGCACAACGAAAACAACACATGACAAGAAAATCAGCTGTTTTTGTATAATCACATTAATTTATGGAACTAAATTAATACAGTTGAGTTATAACACTATTGAA